CATTTTTAAAACTTAAAAAAAAGCATAGATATTGAAGGAATAAAGTCCCCGAAGCTATAATTACGTGCTCGCAAAACTTAAAAGAGACGACGTAAGGATCGAAAGTTTAAGAAGTTGAAGAATATACACGGAGTAATGTGGAATTGAAACCCACCTTACCTGATGGCTTATAAACATTTATACCAATTATAAATCACATCAAATGACGTAGAGACAAGGATAGGGTGACGAAAATAATGCGGTATGTATCTCAATATCAACCAGTTAATAATTTTTTAAAAAAGATACAAAAAAATATACAAGTTTTTTAAATTTATTTTTTAAAAAATCTAATTATAAATTAAAAAGCTCATGAGAACTATTTATGTTAATAAATAAAAAAATAAAATGTTAAAATTTTTATTCAACTCTTCTAAGCTGTATTCATATATATATATATATATATTAATGTATTCACATTAAATTTATAAGAATATGTCTATATGCATATATATTATGACTTTTTTTTTTACCCAAGGCGGGGCGCCTGAAGTTTCTAAAAAAGAGCTCTTCCGATGTGGCGGGCTGGTGTCAGACACTGCAGGTAATGGAGGGACAGTCGGCATGGCCATTTCCTAAACAAGTCAACAGCATGATAGAATAAAAATTTTCTTTTATTTTTCTGAAAATAAGAGCACATTATTTCAACTACGTCCCATTTCCATATTATGCTTACTGTGTGTTTTTAAGCGTGGATAAGATTATTTTTTTAAAATATTTTTTTATTTTAAAAATATATTAATAATATTTTTTTTATTTTTTTAAATTATTTTTAAAATTAACCCATAAAAATAATTTAAAAATATATTAATTTAAAAAAAAATAATTTTTTTAAAATATTTTTAAAACACAGTACGCAATTAAAATAAGATACGTATCCGGAGTAAAAACTGAAAACAGTTTCAACTTGCCACTGTGTGACATGTACCTGGATTCTGGATACGCTTGTGCCAGATGAGCCTCCACCATCCGGACCATTCAAAATCTAACCGTAAAGCTCCCTCCACGTGTAAGAAGAAAGTCAGGCATCCTCAAACTGACCGATCCTACGTGTAATCCCTTCTCTCACCTATGACCTCCCCACCTTCCCAGTTACAACCTCCACCTCACAACCCTTCCCATTTATAAAATCCCTCTCCTCCCTCACCACCGAACACGCTTTCTTTCAATTACAACATTCACTTCTAAGTTAAATTAAATCAATTTTTTCGTTCCGTATACACAAAGCTAAAGAGAATGGAGTCCCTCACTTTGACTGCTTTGTTAAACAAATCAGCCAAGGATTTCCCAAATCGTCGCGCTATATCACTCTCTGGCAGCCTCGATTTAACACACGCTCAATTGCAACAGATTGTCGATCATGCCGCCTCTCTTCTTATCTCCGCCGGCATCAATCCCGGTGATGTCGTCGCTCTCACCTTCCCCAACACCATCGAGGTACTGTCGATTACGTATTCCTTTTGTAGATCCAAAAACTGTACAAAACGTTTTTTTTTTAATTTTCACTCATTATTTACTCTATTATGCAGTTTGTGGTCATGTTTCTGGCTGTAATTCGTTGCCGAGCCACAGCTGCGCCGTTAAACCAGGCTTACACAGCCGAGGAGTTCGAGTTTTACCTCTCCGACTCAGAATCAAAACTCCTAATCATGCCACAAGAGCCAATCCTACCGGCACTAACCGCGGCTTCTAAGCTCAAAATCCCTCACGTGACATCCACACTTGACTTCCAATCCAAAAGAGTAACTCTGTCAACCGAGTCAGAATCAGTACCTGACGCTGTGGACGATGTCGTCAACGACTCATCTGACGTGGCTTTGTTCTTACACACTTCTGGCACCACGAGCCGGCCCAAAGGCGTCCCTTTGACTCAGCTGAATTTGGCCTCTTCGGTTTTGAACATAAAATCGGTTTATAAACTCACCGAGTCTGACTCCACTGTCCTCGTGTTGCCGCTATTTCACGTGCATGGATTGCTAGCTGGATTATTGAGCTCATTAGTGGCTGGAGCCGCCGTGGCTCTTCCAGCCGCCGGGAGATTTTCTGCTTCAACATTTTGGAAAGACATGGTTTCATATAATGCCACGTGGTACACTGCAGTCCCGACAATTCATCAAATTATTCTTGACCGCCATGTCAGCAAGCCAGAGCCGGCTTACCCCAAGCTAAGGTTTATCCGGAGCTGTAGCGCTTCTTTGGCGCCGGTTATCATGGAACGGCTAGAGGAGGCCTTCGGCGCCCCGGTTTTGGAGGCTTATGCAATGACTGAGGCAGCTCATTTAATGGCTTCCAACCCGTTACCCGAAGATGGCCCCCATAAACCGGGGTCGGTCGGACGACCCATTGGGCAGGAAATGGCCATTTTAAATGAGAATGGGGTGGTTCAACCGGTTGGAGTTAGTGGCGAGGTGTGTATTAGAGGGCCTAATGTGACCAAGGGTTATAAGAATAATCCTGAAGGCAATAAGGCTGCTTTTCAATTCGGGTGGTTCCATACAGGGGATGTCGGTTTTATTGATGAGGATGGGTTTTTGCACCTTGTCGGTCGGATCAAGGAGCTTATTAACCGTGGAGGTATGTATGCACATTTTAGTTCTGCCCTATTAGTGCTCTAGTCAATAAAATAAAATAAAAATAGGTCTCCAGAATCAAATTTTGAACAAGAGAAATAAATTTTAGTTTTGTTATCGTGTGCATGGTAGGGCATCACAATGCACGGTCAAGATGTTTCAGCGGTGATCAATTTTGATTTGGAAAGTTCATATTCCAATATGCAGATTCTAGATGTTCTAGAATTAGATTGCTTGCTTTTCGTGGAAGCCTGAGCGTTATTGAAAGTCAAAATGTGTGAACTTGAAGGAAGACGTCATGTTCAAAACTAATTGACCAGCTGTTTGCTGGAATTCATCGATCAATTTTGCTGATATTGTGATTTTTTTCTTGTGTTTTCAGGGGAGAAGATATCACCAATTGAAGTGGATGCGGTACTTTTGTCTCATCCTGACATTGCTCAGGCTGTCGCCTTCGGAGTTCCGGATGAAAAATATGGTGAAGAGGTAAGAAATCGCTATGCTGAAGTCAACCTCATTGCAGTGGGGACCACATCTTGCGTGTTTGTGAATTCCTAATTCTTGGCTCAACTTGACATTTTGTTTTCCTCACTTGCAGATAAATTGTGCCATAATTCCAAGGGAAGGATCGAACATTGACGAAGATGAGGTGCTCAGCTTCTGCAAGAAAAATCTTGCAACTTTCAAGGTTCCCAAGAAGGTATTCATCACTGATTCACTCCCGAAAACCGCCACCGGAAAGATTCAGCGTAGGCTTGTAGCGGAGCATTTTCTTGCTCAGATCTCCACCGCTAAAGTGCCCAAGTTTGGGGCTTAATTAATCAGCTACTAATTCTCCGTTCTTTCTACGTTTTAATTAAACTTATATGTTCACATTGGTTAATTACAGCAGACATGACACGATTAGTTCATTCTGCTACCATCTGTACTGTCACACATTGGTTTGCTATTACATATAGCACCCACCGAAATTACTTTCCTTTGTACATGTATACAAATTTTTATCAAAACTTTTGCAGTTTATTATATGCCAATATCATGTAGGCAAGCTAATGTCAACATGTTACTACTAATGACACCCCAAATTCAGATTTAAAAGCTTCCTGTACTGCTTTGGCCAGTGTCCTGTGTTCATGATATACGCCATCATTCTTGCTTTCTGTATCTTGGACGCACATATGAAGCCTTGTGTTTTAAAAAACTTTCAGAGCTACTATCCGAATTGGAGGAAAAGGAACGGTGCTATTCATTGTGCTCCTCTTTTTCGTAATCGAACTTTTCTTTTAGTGTTATTATTTCAAGACAGTGTGAGAAAACACTCTAGGACGATCTAAAAGTATCTCTTGTTGTCGTCTTCTTGCCTGACAGCTTTTGAGATCATCATTACCACGCCAACCATGTAGCTACATCTAACAATCCACAATTCTCTTTTTTAGCAAGCTGGAGCGGGGCTTGCTTTATCTTATAATATGCTAAGAAAGAAGTGATTGTCCATAATAGAGAAAGATTACTCCTAACTTCCCAGAAAGGATTATAGTGATGGCTCCAGTTCTATCTGTTGTGAATTTTGTTCTGTACAGCTCAAACAAACACCTAAATACTAATCAAAATGAATATGTGCAATAAAAACTTCTTATTTCAATGATTCAAAAATCCTCTAAAAAGACATGATGATATAAAAAAAAACCCAGTAAACTGTTCTCTGTAGTTATATAAATATAAAAAAAAAAAACCAGTAAACTGTTCTCTGTAGTTATATAAGTTGATCTATTTATCTCTTGATGTTTATTGTTACAGCCTTTTAAATCATTTATTTATCTATTTTGTCTCTTTGATTTGGTATTTTTATTTATATGGAATACAATTTTATTGATGTTTTTTTATTATTGATTGGTAGGAATTTTCTTGTTAAGATTCGACAAATTAATTGAAATCCTCAAATTCATAACTTTATTGATGTTTTTTGTATTATTGATTGGTAGGCATTTTCTTGTTAAGATTCAACAAATTAATTGAAATCCTCAAATTCATACTAGAATGACGATGATTCAATAAAATTATTAAATTAACCAAGTACAAGGATTTCTTGAGTAAAAACTTATATATCATCACTTGAATAAATATATGACTAAAAATTTGAAGAAAGATTTATCTTTTGATCAAAATAAAATAGACAGAGAAAAATATTTCAAGAGCTTCTCATTCTTTGAAATTATTAAGAGTCTGTTTGTGGGTTTTGAATGTTAAATCAGACCTCCCTCCTACTCTGTAATCTATTTTATATATTATTAAGTTACGTAATCAGACCTACCTCCTACTCTGTAATCTATTTTATATATTTCATGCTACAAATACTAGAATAATCTTCTACTTTCTTAAAAAGACCATCTCGATCAAGATAAGATGACAGACCCTCAGTCGCTAACCCTGAACTCTTTATGGTAGCAGAACACACACTTCCTCAGAATACACATTCATTCACAGCTTCCACCCCGATGGTCTAAAGCAGGCATGACAGAAACTCGAACGGGGATCGTGGCAGGTATCAACGAGCCTTTTATTCCATGCTTTCTTCTCTAATGATATTTCGAGTTAGAACAGGATAGGATGCATATGCGCTCCTTGTGTGCTATAATAAGTATCCCCTCATCTCTCTTTGCTCTGGGTTTTGCTTATATAACACAAGGTTCTTAGACCTCTGCTAGGTAAAAGCATCATGCTTCAGGTAATTAAACTACGCGAGCCCTTGATCTAGCGAACCAGGTTCGCGTTTCATTCCATGTCGGCCCGATCGAGAAACCATTTCTTCACATGAAGAAAGAGGGACTTGGGCAGGCAAGAAGATAAAGCATTTGAGTTTTGACCTTTATTATATTTTTACATGTACATGCACGCAAGTCTTTTCTTAAACAAAATTTTATGTTTTGAATGTTCTTATTATATATACATAGTAAAATAAACAACGTTGTTCATTATTGTAATACATTTAAAACTTGAAGAACAGCCTCTGTTGTGTCCCTTGAAAGTAAATATTAATGTAGTGGCACCAAATGTTCATCATCTAGTAGCTGTAGTTTGCGCACGTTAAGAACCTCTCTCCTCTCCTGTATGTGCTGACTTGAGCTGGGAAGCGTCAACAAAACTTTGACATGTATTCTGGCAGCCAAGCAGAGCGGAACCCCATATGTTTGCCAGTTAGAATAATCACCGGTTCTGAAATTTCTAAAATCTTAAAGAAACCTATAACATTCATTACACAAAGAAAACATAAATCGGAATTGAGGATTTTTACTAAGTTTTCATTTGTGTGGTTACATAATTGCTAGGAAAAAAACTCAATGATTGTAAAGTTTAATTTTTAATTAATTTAATGTTGAAGGATAAATATAATAATAAAACTTAATTAAAAAAATAATTAGAGCTCATTTATTAATTTCATGATTAAAATTATGAGATTAAGATAATTTTATAAAAAACATATTAGAGTAAATTAAGAAATTCAATTTTTAACTAATTAATATTAAATGTTAAAATTAAAAAATAATTATAAAAAAATTATAAAACTCAATTTTTAATATAAAAAAATTATAAAAAAATTATAAAACTCAATTCTTAATAAATTCAATATTAAATTATTAAATTAAAAAAAACTTTTAAAACTCCAATTAACTTGAGTTAACTTATCATACTGTATTTCTAATTATAGAATCAAAATAATTTTTAAAAAATTAAAATAAATTATGAAGTTAAATTTCTAATAAATTTAATATTTTAAAATAAAATTAAAATTAAAAAAATAATGATACTTAAAAAAAAGTTAGTTTTTATTAATAATTAATTGTTTTTTCTCAAATTAGATACATGCATAGTGTCAAGTTTAATTCTAAAAAATAAAAATTAACAAGAAGTCTATCATATGATCGTAGGTGCACTACGCCCACGCCCAAGGAGCAATAGATTAGCGTAAAAGCAATGCAGCTTTACCTAATTACCTCATAAAACATCATATATTCTGTTAAATAGGATTAAAACTACCCTCTGATATCAATAAGAAAACCATTAAAAAATAAATAAATAAACAAATAGAATTAACTAGTTGAAACCAAAAGAATATATAAAGAAAAAGACGTACATTTTGCCCAAGGATATATAATTTTGTTCAATACGGGCGTTTCATATCTTCTTATGCCACTTCGCTCTCCTGGTCGAAGATTCTCTCTCCTCAGAGAGAACCATACACAAAATACACTCAATTACTAACAAGTTTCAAACCCCAAAAATTAAAACAGGAAACTGTAAGTCACTGGCTCTCTCTCTCTCTCTCTCTCTCTATATATATATATATATATATATATATATATATATATTTCATTTATCAGGAAAACAACTTAGCAGGGGGTTGGTCCTATCGTCATGATAATTTTGGATAGGTTATGTTATTTTTAGCTGTTAATATTGCAAACTAAAATTCTTATTGGCTTTCATAAAACTGAATTCTTTTGTGCGTAATCTATGAAACCCATGTGACCCACAATTTGTTATGATGTATTCTACTTGTTAAATCTCATTATAATAATGGGTTTTATTCATTTCTTAGAAAAGCTTGAGTCTTGATCAAGTTTTTGTTCTAATTTGACATGGTTTAATACTATCCAGGGAGTATTATTTCTGATTTGGTCTTTAGAAAATCCTGAAAATTTTACTATTTGGTTTGGTACTTGTAAGGATGCTGTTTTATGTATTGCCATGTAATCAGAACTTGGATTGACAATGTAGGGATGGAACCAAATAGTGAAATAACCAAAGAGAAGTATGGTGTTGATATCTCCTCCATAAGGGAGGCACAAGTGCGCATCGACCCATACATACACAAAACTCCAGTCTTTACCTCAGGAAGTCTGAATGACATGTGTAGAAGGAAGCTGTTTTTCAAATGTGAATGTTTTCAGAAAGGGTGAGAGATTAATAAGTGGCGAACACCGAATGTTTTAGACATTATTAGTATATTTGATTTGATATTGGGTTTTTAACTTGTTTTTTTCATTGTTTAATTATGTGGTGCCTTAAAGACCCAATTTTGTGTTTTCTATTCGTTATCAGTGGGGCGTTCAAGTTCAGAGGCGCGTGCAATGCCATATTTTCACTTAATGAAGATCAGGCAGATAAAGGGGTTGTAACTCACAGCAGGTTTGCTCCGTGTTCTCTGTGCTTTACAGTTCTTCCTCTTTTCTTGTTTGTCTGAAATTTGCTGATTGTATCCTCCAAAAATAGCGGCAACCACGCTGCAGCATTGGCTTTGGCTGCAGACTTGCGGGATATCCCAGCATATGTAGTTATACCCAACAATGCTCCAAATTGCAAAATTGAGAATGTGATACGTTACAGTGGTCAAATTACATATTCTCAGCCTACATTACAGTCAAGGGAGACTACCACAACAAAGATCATGCAAGAAACTGGTGCGGTTCTCATCCATCCTTATAATGATGTGCGCATAATAAGGTAGTAGGCCCACTCTTATTTTGTTGCTTCTGCACCTGTGTTGAATTTGAACCTGCAAATATTCCGTACACCATCTCATATATTTGTATTAAACTCATGATTCATTTATTTGTCTGTTATCTAATTTTCCTTAATTTACTGCAATTAGATCTTCTAGGCTGGTCACTAGTATCTAACTCTCAATTGACTTCTTTCTTTTGTTCTGTTCTACACTGAATTTCTGATAGGGATGACCTCCGTGTTAAATGAAGGAAAAAATTCTTTACATATTCAAAAAAAAATTTCTATAGAGCTTAGAATGTCATTGAAAGTTTATGATTGAAGATATGTGAGTGTAACTAGTGGCCTCTCGAGGCAAAGTTTGTGTCATTGCCAAGAATAATAAAACTGGAATCAGCTGAACAATTTAGAATTCTGTTGCTTCACCTCCAAGTCCAGTATCAGAATGAGAAAATGCTTCACCATTCTCTATGAGAATTCATCCCAGCTATATCACTACATTTTATAGGTATAGAAATGACCCAATGCACCTATATTTCTCATTCTTGTTCAAAATGCCATATAGAGTATTTTGCAGTGGTTTTTTATGGATAAAAAAAAAAAGGACCTGGGCTAGTGCAAACAGAATATGAGCGTTTGTCTTTGCAGTGGGCAGGGTACCATCGCATTGGAGCTTCTGGAGCAAGCCCCAGAAATTGACACTATAATAGTTCCTATTAGTGGTTCGTTTAATTTCCTTATAGTGTCAATTCTTCATTTTGGTCCTGCATCGTTTTATTTGTTTATTTCTTTTCCAAACCTGAATCGTCATTAAATAAACTGTAGGGGGTGGTTTGATATCCGGGGTGGCATTGGCTGCTAAGTCCATCAACCCTTCCATTCGAATTTTGGCTGCTGAGCCTTGTGGAGCTAATGATGCAGCTCTATCCAAAGCAGCTGGAGAGATTGTAAAGTTGCCTGAAACCAACACCATTGCAGATGGTCTTCGAGCTTCTCTTGGAAGTCTTACCTGGTAAAGCAAACCTTGTGCTTCTTGTGCATGCATTGAGGACACGTACCTAGTTTTTCAATAATCCATTCTTCCCTACCTGGATTTTATGAAGTATGCTTCTCTGTCTTTTCTTTTCTTGCATTTATTTTTAACAGAACATGCAGTGGGCACGCTCCCATTAGCCATTGCTAGCACGTCTCAAGTTCATCTAATTTCCTTGCCCTGCTATCTCACTCCACACCTTATGGTGGAGCAGGCCAGTGGTTCGAGATTTGGTTGATGCTGTTATAACAGTGGAAGATCACGAGATAATAGAAGCCACGAAACTCTGTTATGAGGTTCTGAAAGTCGTAGTAGAACCTAGCGGAGCTATAGGCCTTGCAGCTGTTTTATCTGATAGTTTTCAGAATAACCCTGCCTGGAAGGATAGCAACCACGTGGGAATCGTGCTTTCAGGAGGTAATCTGGATCTTGGTGTTCTTTGGGATTCAATTTGCGGCCTGTAACTCTTTCTTTCCCTTGAAAATGAAGATTTCTCTCTCGATGATTAAATAACATTTCTGTTTTGGGCTTACATATGTATTCTGGCAAGAACAAAAATATCATAGTGTTGTTTTTTTTTTTTTTTTGGAGAATAGCATTCATGCGTTTTACATGGCATCTTTCTGCAGCCCCCTGTTGCATCTTGCATTGCTGATGATGTAGCGCACAGGCAATTTCTATCAGAAGCACATTTACAAATTGTCAACAAAGAGATGGGGGTTGGTTGGTATATCATTAGGTCAGTGGGGTAAACTATAAGAAGGGGAAAACGAACACCAGTTCTGTTCTTGGAGCTGAAGCGTATGAACAATGGTTTTTAGATTCCTTTCATCTAGTGGATGAGACAGGGACTCAGGAGGGGTGAAAATAAGTCATAGAATAAATGGATTCATGGCCATCATCATCATGATTTTTGTTTTTTAAATCTTTTGACTGCTAGAGGGATCAAAAGAGTATCTCTTTTATTTTATTAGTAGCTCGCGCAGAATTAGAAGCATGACTACTTGAAACAGTGACCTATGACCACCAACAGTAACCACTACAACAACTATGTCCCAAAACTGAAGCAAACGAAAGACAATACAAGAAAGATTGAAGAACAAAATAGAAAAACAACACAACATAAAATTTTGCCTAATAAGATCACATCATAAACTCTAATTCAAAATTTCATTACACAAATATTATGCAAAAAAACTACTTATTTGAGTTCTTCTATTCTATTTATATACTAGTCAAAAGTTCTAAACAAAACTGAAAAAATAATTATTTCTTTAACCAAATAGAAAAATATCTAAATTCAATTAGAAAAATATAACAAATATTGAACAATAACTTTTAGGTATTAGCATAAAGCCTTCTCAATCTCTAGTTGCTTTGAACTTTTACCCCTAAAAAAAATCAAAATTCCAATCCAATTCAGTGGTTGGTTTGAAACTTACATTTGTTAACATAAAGCTACATGTCAAGGAAAAATCTTTTGTATTAGTCTCCTTATATCGGAAAGAACTCCACAAGTTTTTCCACCTACATTGTTGTAGTTGTAGACCATTAAAAGCAATGTCCTTGTGCTTCACTGACCTCTAACGAGTTGATATTGTATAGTTAGTCGATTCATGCAAAGACCTTGTTTGTTTTTTTTTTTTTAAATGCTTTTAAAAAAAATTATTATTTATTTATTTTTTTCTTTGCTTCAAATTAATATTTTTTTATATTTTAAGGTTATTTTGAAGAGCTGATATCAAAAATAATTTTTTAAAATAAAAAAAATATTATTTTGATGTATTTCCGAGTGAAAAATATTTTAAAAACCAACCGCAATCACACTCCCAGACGGGCTCTAATAGTTTAAGAATTAATGCCCAAAATACTTTGAATCTTTACAAAACCATTACTACTCGCCAATGGTTTGTTCCACATTGTACCCTTCTCACATTATTCTAAATCTTGACAATCTTTTTCTTTTCTTGTTTCTCTTTCTTCTCCACAAACAATGATAAAAACAACACTTTTTTACCCTTGCTCTTAATAATTACCTCATTTCTCTTGGGCACCAATATTATAAGCTTTTGCTTTATACTAAGGGTATACGTATTACGATGTCCTTCATACATGACATTTTTGTCATATTGCCTTGATCTATCTAACAATAAATTACACACATCCAATTACATTATATCACACTAAGTACCATCAAAATATCTCTTGCCTATAGAAAACAAAACAAGATAGTGTTCATCCATGGTTACCTTGCTATCTCAACTTAGTCACTTCAATTTATTAGGCTTCAAGTGTTTTTCTATCTTGAGTTACAACTTCTTTAATACCTTGACTGAAATCATTTTCTCACAATTACCACTATCAATAATCAAGTTACATATCTTCTCATTAATTGTACAAGTTAAAGGAAATAGGCTACTGCATAATCAATCTTTTCTTGAATCACCCTTAATAGCAAACAAGTTCTTTTGGATTATTAACTTAGCATTGCTATCACCTTGCAAAACCTCTTACTAACATTTGAAGCATCATAAACAAAATCACTAGCCTTCTCATAAGATTCTATTACCAATAAATTTTTACTTAAACGACTCTCTAGGTTATAATGCTCAGTAACTCGATACCTTAACTCATTACATTTGAAACATTGAAATTTGAATTCATAACCTTGACTTATGGTTTCTTAGCTATTGCTTCAAGTTTATTGGATGATTTTTATTCATTGGGTTGCGCCTCTCTATTATTCTGATCAAAATAAAAGTCATCTCTATTAGTTACCCTGAAAATTTATTATTTTCCATGATAAAAAACCTCTAATAAGCTTTTGAAACTATATACAAAGATTGCAAACACAACATAACTTGGATGGATCGTCATAATCCATTTAGGTTCCTGGAAACCAATCATTTTTCTCTCCTACGAGGTACTACTTAAGGAACCATGGTCACTTTCTTCCTAACCATGTTCCTGTAGGTTTCTCTAATCTAACCAACAAGCTAATTTCATAATTTACCTCTACATGTTTTTGTTGTGAGCTCCTAGATGTTTGTCTCCTGTAAGGGAACCTCCACATCCTCTCCCTCACCATGTCGTACTTCATAACCTCTTCCTACTATGTTAGCATCATACAACAAGCAATAACTTGTTGGGCTTTGATACAAACTAACATAGATGAAAATAATACAAGACAGAAGAATAAGCAACCCAAAATCTTATTGAATAGTGTCGTACCCCAAACTCTAATTTTAAATTTTATTATCAAATATTTCACAACTATTCTAATAAAAAAACTCTCTATTACATCTCTTCTAGGCTACTTATATATTATTAAAAAGTCCTAAAAAACTCTCTTTAACAATAACTTTTGGGCATTATTGTAATATCTTCTCGATCTTCTATTGCTACAAGATTCTAACCCTAAAGAAAACAAGGTTTTAAGAAGTTTCTAACAAAATTTTAGATTGAATAGTTGGAGTAAGATTTATGCATGTTAACATAAAATTGCGTGTTAAGAAAAAAATCTCCTATATACAAAACATAATCTAAAATGAGTTTGGTTGCCTGATAAAATTGCTATGTACTTAGCTAAACTATATCCCAATCAATCATTACACAACAACAATCATTATTAAGTGTTGTTAGACTTTAGCATAGTATAAAAAAATAGCAAGATAACACATTACAAGAAATATTTAGGCAAATAGCATAGTTTAGAGAGTTGTAGTTGACATATATGACTCTTTTAAATGATAAATAGGCTGACGCAATTTATAATAAAGAGAGAAAATAGAGTAGATAAAAAAAACAAGGAAAGAAAAATACCTTAGAGACATCGAAACTCTAATGATGACACCACCAAAACCATTGAAAAGACATCAATAAAATGAATCCAACAACACAAAGAAAGGTCATTAACGATGAACGAAATGGTTCACATAAGTTGTTTAAAGGTGTCTGGGCTCACTTGTCTTTGGATAACTTATGTGGACCAATTTGATTATCATTGGTGATATTTCTTAGTGTTGTTGGATATTTTTAGATCATTTCAACAATATTGGTTTTGTCATTATTGGAGTTTCAATGTGCTTCAGGGTCTTTTTTTTCTCAATTTGTGGAGAGAGAGAGAGAGAAATATCATGTAGGCAGATTAAAGCTCTGATGACAACATTACTAGGATCGTTGAAAAGATTTTAACAAAACAAATCTAACGATATAAAAAAAATCATCAACAGTGACCATGTTAAGCTATACACTCAACCAAAGATAAGTGATCGTTAGGAGTGAACAAAAAAATCAAAAAACCAATTAAACTGAGAAAACAAAAAAAGTAATTAAAAAAACTAAACCGTGAAAAAAACCAATTATAATTTTGAAAAAACTAATTAGTTTGGTTTTGGTTTTTTAAGCCTGAAACCAAAAAAATCAAATCGAACCGGAAACAACCAAGCCAAACCAAAAAACCAAGTCAAAATGAAAAAACAAGCCAAACAGGTTTGAACTAGTTTTTGTTCTAAAAAACCAAACCAAATCTAAACCAGTTGGTTTGAACCAGTTTCAGTTCAGTTTTTTTTTAATTTTAGTTTGGTTATTTATTTTGATAAAAATCGAATCAAACCAAAAATAATCACCCCTAATAAACACTCACCCCTAATAAACTCTGACACCTTTAAATAGCTTGTGGTGTCCATTTCATTTATCGTTGATAATCTTTATTAATATTATTAGATTTATTTTATCAAGATTTTACAATCATTATCAACAATGTTATCATTGAAATTTTCTCTTAAATCTGTTTTTTTTTCTCTCGTTTTATTGTAAATTGTGTCATTGAATATAATACTTGTAACTTACGAATGACAAATGCTAACTATAACTGTCTAAACTATGTTATCTAAATATTTTGTGTTGTATTATTTTACCAAATTTTTACTTGCTGAACTAAAAACCAAAAAGAACTCTTGATTGCCAGATATAGGTTTGAGAGGAGTTTCAAAACCCTTGCTCATACATGGCAGATATAGGTTTAATCTAGAATGTCAACGTACGATTCTGGCGAAAATACCAAAAACAAGGAGCATTTTCACAACAGAAGTACTGCTTGAAGTTTAACTATTATTGAGACAACAGCAGTCAAGACCAACACTTTTTTGTGAACTGCAGAGCCAACAAAACCAATTTGAAAGATGCACACCCACCAAGAAACATGCAATGCAACATTGCTTGAAAAATAACTCCACGTATTGGAAAGACTCCAAAGCATGTAACTGAAAAAAAGTAGAACAAAAGTAAATCAGTCAATCCATACATCCTATATGCAAACGAAGGAAAGATTCAGATTTCATGTCTTTAGGCCTCATCCCCGTATGCTTCCTCCTCATCTTCAAACTCGCCTTCCTCATCAGCAGTTGCATCCTGGTATTGCTGGTACTCTGAGACCAAATCATTCATGTTGCTCTCAGCCTCTGTGAATTCCATCTCATCCATTCCCTCTCCAGTGTACCAATGCAAGAAGGCCTTCCTGCGGAACATAGCAGTGAACTGCTCACTAACTCTTCTGAACATTTCTTGGATTGATGTGGAGTTGCCAATGAATGTGGAAGCCATTGTCAAGCCTGTAG